CTGCTTCACCACCTCATCAGACTTAATCTTTGGTTATTGTTTCGACCCCCTAGTGGCAGACTTGTCATAGTGCACATTTAAAATGTCCATACATGAGCTATTATGACAGTGTGGCACTGTATCTGAATCTATCAGACTGACCTCTGCTGCTCTAGAGACTCCAGGTAGAGGTAAGCAGAACCCATGAAGTCATCTTGAAGGCCAAAGTCATAGTCAAACACCTGCAACAAAACAGAACTGCACTGACTCTTTTGTTCATTAAGAATTCATGTGGGAAAGCTTTGTTCTGTCTGTCTGTGTGTGTGTGTGTGTGTGTGTCTTTACCTTCACATACAGAGGTTCACTCAGACAATCCACTACTAGAGTCGTTTTCTCCTCCCACACTGGGTTCAGGTTTTTGTGGATGGTTTTGCTTCTGAACACCTCTTTACCAGCGAGCTTGAACTTCACATAGGGATCACTGCTGCCTAAAAACAACAAGTAAAGTTTCTCAGATCCATAAAATCAAACACAGAAAAAGAAAAAAAAGACAGTAACTCTACCTCCTCTGTCTCGGACGGCCAGATTGTTTCCTCTCTTCAGCTCAATCTCCAGCTTGTACATCCCTGAGCTGTGGATGGATCTCTCAGGCGGGACCCCTGAGGAGCACGGAGCACCCTTACCCTGTCAGGAAAAGGACGCATTAATCACAAACTGCACGACATGAAATCAGTCCCTCTGTCATCGCAAGTAAACTCACCAACATTATTAAGAGAAATAAATGCTGCGATAAGCTGCCGCTGAAGCGAAGCCTTTACTTCCTCAGTGGTGTCTGCACACTGACTGAAGTGTAGAATTCAGCTCGGTAACTTGTCTCTGGGGTGACCACTAACAGGAAATTACACGAGAGTAGTTTCCTCCCATCCGACCAGAGTGTTGTTGAGTTGATATTTTTTTCATTCTTGTATATGCCTCGATTTCACAGCATCGCCTCTGCTGTGGCAGAGCAGAAACTGAACGTAACAGACCAACTGTAGAGCGTTAGGGCCTAACAATGCCCCATTACCACAAAGAGACACAAAACAACTACAAAGAGACTCAAAACAACCACAAAGAGACTCAAAACAACTACAAAGAGACACAAAATGAAAACAAAGAGATGCGAAACAAACACAGAGATGCAGAATAACCAAAACAAGACGCAAAACAACTAAAAAGAGAAATAAAACAACTACAAAGAGACAAAAAATGACCATAAAGGTAAATCTGAATAAACATGTTTTGGGTTATGGGACCAAACATAACTATATATTATCATATTCCTCACTTTAAATAGTTTAAATACATAGATTTATATAAATAATTTACTCTGCACTGGTGTGGACACTGCCTCACACTTTCCCCCCTTTTTAATCCGGGGTTTCTTTATTTTGTTAAAACTGAACTGTCGACATTTACAAGGAGCCAAAAACAAACTAAGGCCAGACCGTTGAGACACCAACATGATAAATCAATATGTTAAATTAAACACCACAAAGTCTGCAGCCATCAGTTGTGCTAAATATACTAGATTATATTGATCCTCAAATGTTAAAATAAGTATAATGAAAATATGCTCCTGCTCGTATGTGAGCAACAGTTAATCAAACATTGAGCTCATAGATCATTTTAAATGTAAGTGAACTACTCTTTTTGGGATTCTGCTTCCTGTCAACAACACTTACAGAGATCTCTGATCAATACTTCTATCATGTGATGATACACGAGGGCCGCACTTAAATGGCTGTGAGATTATGAAAAGAGGCTTCAGTTTACTGTGTGCATTACAGTTCAGACGTCCAGAGACTACTTTAATACTTTTAAAATATTCCCAGAAGAGACGCAAAACAACCACAAAGAGACAAAAACAATGACCAAGAAACATGAAACTACAAAGAGATGCAAAATTACCGTAAAGAAACATGTTAAAAAAGGTAAATCTGAATGAATATGTGTGTATGTACAGTAGTCTGCTTTTATATCCTGATGTCATCCTCAGATTCCAGGACCAACTAAACAAGATCCTCTTTGTGCTGTGGTTGTCTGTTAGAAGCTGACAACAAAAGACACACAAAGAGACAGAAAAGGTCAACAAAGAGATGCAAAACTACAACAAAAAGACCATCAAAAGACTCAAAACGGCCACAGAGATGTGACAGGGACACAACAAACAGATGTATAACGACCACAAAGAGACTAAAAACAACAAAAAGTCTCAAAACAGAGACAAAAAACAACCAGAGGGAGACTAGAAACAACTACAAAGAAACAAAAAACAACCACAAAGTGATGCAAAACAACAAAAAGCCTCAAAACAATCAGACAGAGAAGCAAAACAACTACAAAGAGATACAAAACTACAAAGAGACACAAAACTACCAGAAAAAGACTAGAAACAACTACAAAGAATAAAAATAATTACAAAGAAACAAAAAACAACCCCAAAGAAACTCAGAATGACAGGAAACTGATGCAAATAACCACAAAGACCAAAAACAACCACAAATAGATATAAAATGCCTAAGAAAAGTCAAAACCAGAACAAGAAACACAAAACTACAAAGAGATGACCATAAAGAAACATGTTAAATCTGAATGAACATGTCCAGTGTTCTGCTTTTATATCCTCATGTGACTGAAACCTCAGATTACAGGGGGAGATAAACAAGAGCAAACATAACCGGCCACAGTAATGGAAAAAGAACATGTCAGGGCACATCAGGACATTCATTTACTCTGCACTGGTGTGGACGCTGCCTCACACTTTTTCCTCTTTTTAATCCGGTTTCTTTATTTTGTTGAATCTTGTTGTCGACACGTGAACACAAAGCAACAACTAACCCGCTTTGTACAGTAATCAGTGAGCTCTGTTAGCTAACTAATGAATCTTCACTCCGAGTCGCTAAAAGTTGAAGATTTGACAGGTGAATGTCAGGATATTATTGGTTGAAATCAATGGTTAGTTCATGCTGACGTAAGCACGTCACATTTAGTTTCACAGGAAGA